CCGGCGTTTAACTACGGCTCATCTGCCTCATTCCCTGTTTTCAGAGAGTGCCTCTGATTCGCCTCTGAGCTCATTTTTGGAGAGCCAGCGTTGGGCACGGAGTCAGCGCCGCCGCTCCTCTTATTCCACAACCCACTAATGCTAGCTCTGGGCTTAACTCAGCACGGTGCTGCGTGCCTGCCTTTCAGTGAGAGCCGAGGTTGCCTGGAAGCTCTCAGATTCGTACCTCAAAATTGTAGAGGCAGAAATAGTGTTTTAAAGTTCAGTTTGTTGTTGACGGCCGCTTAGGGTTGTTAGAAATTTTGGGTGTTGTAACGTGAAAGGTGTAATTTTTGTTTTGTAAAAATGTTTGTTTCATTTAGTGAGGATTTGGGAAACGTGGAACACGCGTAAGTACAAAGCATGTTAGAAGCCCCCCTCCCCGCAAAATGAAGTAATAAACCCTTTCCTCAGAGTTGCCCTCCTATCTGCAGATACTGACTGATGGGTTAAGGGATCTGCTGTGCAGGGAACATGGATTTACCTAGGCTACAACATGTATTTTTGAGCCTTCAAACATACGACTCCAGATGTACGATGGCATCCCACTTATCATCCGTGCAGTTTTGGTAGTACTGGAGCTTGCTTGCCGGACGTTTCAGTGAAGTGTGTCAGGGTCTTCTGCTTTAATATATGTAAAAAGATGAGAAGTTTATTAAACTCAGACCCTGCTTTTTTCTTCTATAATTTATGTTCTGAAAGACTCATAATAAACAGTTTATTAAAAAGAAATCCTGATTTATTTCTGCAAACGGTTACATTTCAAGATGGTATCAAACAGTTTTGTAGGAGACCACCTTTTATGCTTCCCATGGCAGTTTAAAAGATTGCTAGAAAAATAATCCAGAATCTAAGTAGGTTTGGATAAAGGCAAGCCAGAAGTATATGTCAGCGTATGTGGTGCTTTTATGCAGCAAAGCGATAGATTTTACCAGAGAACATCTGGGTACTGGCTTCAGTTACAGCACAGATTTTAGTGGGATAACAAGTCTTGTTTGGCTTCACATTGATTTTGAAGTCACTAAACTTTATATGAATAATAAAGCTGTAAGCCCATTACTTCACTGTTTTCAAGGGGCTATTTCAGTCTTCCCTCAGTATCTCGCATCGTGCCAGAGCTGTTTTTATTTTGTTTTACCAAGTGGTATTTATCTCTTCATTCCTCAGCGTTCTTCTTCAGGAGACAGATTTACTAATTTATGCAAATAGACACAGTGTAGACGTAGGGTTGCCGTTCAACCTTGCTCAATGCGCACGTTTTCTGCATTAAGGGTAGTCTAATGAAAACTGCACAGTTCTTGTCGTTCAGTGCGTTCAGAGCAGCTGATGCTGTTAACGCGGAACGCGCTGTAGCCGCTTTGGGCTGCTGTTCCAACCACTAATAACGGGTAACATAATGTGGAGGTTTTGCTTGCTTTTTCTGTTTGATTGTAAGATAAGGAGGAGAAGGGTAGACCTGACTAAAGGAATAAAGGGTCTGTCTCTTCTTTAAAGAAAACAAGTCTGCAAGTCGTTACAAAATGGTACACGTAGTAGTGGGAATGCCCAGCAGTACCTTTGAGGATGATGATCTGGAAAAGTTATATATCAAGAAATACACATTTGGAATAAGGCTTGTGTAAAAATGTATGGACAGCCCATAATGATAATGTTTTTATTGATTACAGATAGCACAGTGTAATAGTAAATGCAGTTGAACTCCCTATTTTGAGGTCACTGAGTAGACTTGCTTCAAGTAGAAGATGAAGTTGTAGGCATTACTCAAGCAGAAGTGAAAGGGGAATAAATGAGAATTACGTTAAAGGAAATAGAACTGCGTTAAAGGAAATAGGTAACAGCAGTGAGAAAAGAGTCAAGTACTGTTTTAGCTCTATTAAACAACGAACAGTGCAGTAAGCGAGCATCGTCCTAGAGAAATGATGAAACGTTTGCGAAAGCTATATTCCCCATTTTGTGTCGTGACCGAGAATAAGCTTCTTTTGCAACAAAAATCTACATGAAATCAGCGATGGTTTCAGCCTGAGACAACTGCTCAAATAAGTCAACGCTGATGGGGAGAGCTTTGAAGGCTGAGAAGACGTTGTGTTTGAAAACTTTAACAAGATGTCATTAGGGGAGGAAGTATTTGCCCTTAGATCGGGAAATAGGTCAGGGTAATAAATCATAACTCCAGGAGAACATGCGTAAAGATGGAAATAAATTAAGAAGGACAGGGAGAGTAAATACTAGAAAGACGTTTGTTCTTTCCGAGTTAATTTTCTAATTGGCAATATGTAAGGACACCCAGTGAACTGGAGAAAGATAAATGTTAACACAGAGCTGTGACAGGAACCGACAGAAAACCCTGTGACTACATAGATGGCTTTGATTGTACCCTTGGGAGTATGTAGGTCGTGTAAGACATGTCAGAGGCATGCAGCGTCATCTTTTTAGTTAACGTGCTGGACAGTTAATATTATAACTTTAGTCAGTAAAAAAGTGAAAATCTTCTTGGGGCCATTTTACAGGACGGACTTCCAGTTTGTGCTCAGCTTTTAAGTGCTGTTCAAGTAAGCAGAAATACAACTGGTCTGAGAATCTAACCCTCAGTCGGTAAGTATATGGCTAAACAAAAAGGTACTTGTGTCAATATAGAGGATGCACACACACACACGCGCATGCTAATACTGTGCCGAATGTTTTTCTGTGGGCAGTAGAGAGCGGACTCTGTCGTTCCCCCAGGGCAAGAGGAAGAGGGGGTGCTCAGGTAACTGGGAGCATTTACAATGGTTTTCATAGGTTGCTCAAGAAACTCACAGGATTATCTGGTTTTGGTAACCGCAAGGCTGAATCAGGATGTTGTTCTGCACAACAAATGAGACTGCTCTGGTATTTGGATAATTAAATTCAGTAGTTGAAGAGATGTTTTTTGGATAATTAAATTCAGTAGTTGAAGAGATGTTTGTTGATGGCATGACAGCTGAGATAAGAGGCAGTGGTACTTACTTGAGAGCACCTGGAAATCTGAAAAACAAAAGGCAATAATTTATCTTTCCTACTTCATTCCCCTCTCCACTGGCCGGATATGAGTGCCCCTCAAGTATGACCCTCACACACTTACAATGTGACACACTACCGAAACCGACACTTCCGCTGTGATTTACAGGGGAAAAGCATTGTTCTCGTAATTAAATGTATTACTTTTGTGAAGGAAAAAAATCTTTAAAGAGGTTGTAACTGTATTAGGGGGAGAAAAATGATGCTTTTAATCTTTCTCACCTTTATCAGTACCAAGATAGAGCAGTGCTAGACTAACTGTTTCTCCTGATACAAAGTCTGATAGTGAAGCAGACGAACAGCAGGCTGTAGCAGCATTGCAGGTACTTTGCACAGATCTACGAGGATTAAATACATGTTTTTTACAAAGCATCCAGGATATCAGGAAGGTATGAGCTCTCTCTCTCTTGCTGCTTTGTTGAAGTGTAGGAGATTTACTACTGATTTGTTTATTTTCAAACAGTCTAAGTGTATCTCAGCATTTTGAAATCCAGAAACCTGATGCAAATTAAGCTGTTTACAGATTGGGAGGATGATCCTGCGGGAAAGCCAAGTATCTCAGAGCTGCCAGCTGGGCTTTGGATGCAAAGGAAAACATCAGTGAACAGACTTAACGGTTTCTACTCTCCGTCCTTTCTGCTCCTTTGGCTGCTAGCTCTGCGTTTAGTTCTCCATGGGCTCTTTCTCCTGAGTAATGA